GTCATTGTGCAGGGTTAAAGGGCAAAATCAGTGGTCCATGTTATCCTCCAACTGCAGTGCTCCACCACACCCACACAATTTTGAGGAATTAGAAAAAACTGGGGAACTAGCAGAAAGTGCAAATAAGAAGGAGGCAGTTTTTAGCTCCTTCAGCATGGAGTAGAACATTCAACTTTGAGCTTTTCCTGTTTAACTTGATTAGCCTGCATATGATTTTACTCGCTCTTTTTTAAAAGTTTTCTATAGAAACCCAATAAAAAAGTCCAGGAGCATGCAGCTGGTTAATGTTAACAAAAGACCTTGACAGGAGCATGTAAACTATATTGGATGTCATGCTTGGGGCCTTACTGCCAGCAACATTAGAGTTGTTTCATTAAAAGTGAATACTGTACACTGAATATGGGATAACTTTCTGCAGCCTTCATAATCTCACACAGTAAATATAATTTAGATTTAGGTACAGAACACACTCTGGTGTCACAGCTGAGTATGTCCTTGTGCAATCTCTTTCATTAAGTCCTTATGAAGCTACAAGTTGCAAATCCAAAATTCTGCTCCCTGAGGACACAGCTATGTGAGACATAGGTACTGTTTTAGTTCTCTGCCTATCCTGAATTGCTCTGTGAACCTAATCTTAAATACCATCATGTAACAATCACAAAAACTTTTGCTAAAGGCCATATATACTAATAAAAAGACAGTGGTGCTTCCAACATTTTGAAATGCTCTGAAAACCAACTTTTCCAATACTAAATACAACAAAATAACCTTCATAAAATATAACTTTTCTCCATTTACATTTTTAAAGGATTAGTAACCTATGCTTTTCAAGCACAGGAATCTGCGAAATAACTCCTAACATGGACAGATTTCTTTTTTTAATACATAAATTAAGAAACTGGAGAGTTTTAACCCAAGTCCAGTTTCCAAACAAGGAATATTCTTGTTTACTTTAAAAATGGAAATGGTATGCATTTCCATTATAATTGTTAAAAAGTTAGCTTTACAAACAAGGGTATTTTAATTAAAAAAAAAAAAATCTTAACAAAACTATACAGTGTACAAATTACTGTCTACAAGGTAGGCGGTTCATTCAGAAGATCCTCCTTTCTTCTCGCTACTTGCAGCTTCACAAATTCATTCACATATTTTCAATGGAGCTGCCCACCTGAACATCACCCCACAACTATATTGCTATAATTAATATTTTTGCCATGTCTTTATGTACAGTCTCCTTCACTGCCTTTTTTTTTTTTTCCTTAGTCAAGCCTCAAACGTTCATGTCACTCCAGGGGAAACACACTTCAGTGGCACAGCCATAAGGCCAGGGCTGCAAAGCAACTTAATAAAGGCAGAACAGTGCACATAGAACGGGGTGGCTCGATTTAGTCAGAATACACTTCCTGGTGAAGGAGGAGGCCAGAGACTGGATTTGAGTTCTCAATCTTACCTTAATCTTTTGACTGATGAGCTAAAAAAAAAAAAAAAACCAAAACCAAACAAAACCCCAAAACCAAACCTACAATAAATGAAAAGTTCATTTTCTTCCAAACAGGCTTTTCTATTAGAGAGGCAGGTGAAAAAAAACCCACAGTTGCTTAACAATCCAATTCATTCACATGGAAAGAAGGAGATTGCTTTTTAAAATATTGCATCTGTAAGCTCAATTTTTTTTCATACAGGAGGTCAGAGATAACAAAAAAGCTCTGTTAAGGGCATCCATCTTCCTACAAGGTTAATCGTCATTTTGACTATTGCACTTTGCAGCCTGAACTTGTTTCAGTTTCATCCTGGCTATTAAAAGCTTAATGGGGACACCTTGCTAATGGCACTAACCAAGGACAGCCCCCCAGCACACCCCTCTGCTTCCAAACTGCTCTATATCAGTGGCATGCAGAAAAGGTAGCACATACTTTGTTTTACTGGGCGAGAGCCTGAGGTGTGCTCTGGGTGGGACTAGCGCGTTTCAGCAATCTCAACACCACATGCTTGTAGCCGTTCAGGCCCTGCCTACACACGTACCTGATGCTGGGGACATGGGGATGCACCCCGGCCACGGCTCGTCAGCCGCAGCGTGCTGGCCACAGCCAGAAGGGACTGACTTCAGTGTGACACTGCCAAGCACTCAGTGGGGCGGCTGTGGTGGGAGCTGCACCTCCGGGGATGCTCCAGGGCAGGAAAATCTCCAAAATGCAAACACAACTGCAAAGGGATGAATTTTGCCACCAAGGTATCCCATACCCACAAGTTTATACTCTCCTCTGCTTGTGCCCTAATGAAAGGATATGCTTTTAAGAAAAATTCACCCTGTACTGAGCCATACATCACAAAGATCCCTGGTACACATGAGGTCTCCAGCAGCAGGCCCACTCCTGATCTGCAAAATCTGATTTTACTGGGAATATGCTTTTATTTACATCATAGTCTAATTCCATGCGTTAAGAAACTTCTTCCCCACTACAGCCCAGAGCTCTCCATCTGACCTGCTGTGTGAGAAGACACTGCAAACCTCTGACACAGCCTGAGCAGGCTGAAAATTGTAATTTAGATGCTGTGAGTTAACAAACTTGGGGCGGG